ATGGACAAAAGAAAACAATATACTGTACTGGCAAGTTGCGGCTAGTTATGCAGAATCAAAGCTATCATCGGAGATTGGAAAGCTCTAGATTGTATCAGATTCAGTAGCTTTGTTGCATCAGGTGAGGGACAATCCGAATGAAGGTCCCCAAGGACAAAGGACCTCTCTGCCTCCGCATCCAGGTTCGGATGTTTCTTCGTTGAGAATGGGATGTTGATCTCAAAACTGAGATCTCAAAACTGAAGCCACATAGGCCGCCTCCGACTCATTGCAAACAACTGGGTCCTTGCCAGCGAGACAGTGTTTAGCTTGGCTGAAGCGAGTTCGCTCGCTGGACAGTCGAGGTGGCCCGAAGGTTCATCCCTGTGCTTCTAAGAGTAAACTCAAGTGCCCTTGATGCTGCGGGGCTGGTTTTCATCGGTCCTTTTTGTATGACAGGTTGTCCCTTTGTAGCAGGCGCAGCCTTTGTAGCATGTGGGGGGGGCAATCTGTGGGACAATCTGGTCTATCCCTCTTTGTTCCACTCAAGTCGACAAGGAGCAAACCCCCCCCATGTGAGCTATGTCGAAAACCTGTTGGAACTGGCTCTGTTCTTGTAGCACCCTTTCGCAATCCGCAAAAGGCTATCGCGGCACTTTCGCGGACACAGTTTTGCCTTTTGTAGGCATAGTCTGTTCTCTAACATTATTTTTCTGCGGTATTGCCAGCACTTGGCAAATACGTCATCCAAAATGGCCTTTCGCACATTCCTTTCGCAACCATGCTTTTGTTCCGTCTTTCGCAACAGCTTTCTTGAAGCTTTTGCAAATTGAGTTTTGTCTATTGTGGTGGGTATGTCAGGACAAGTGTATTACAAAAGCTCGACATAAGCCTCTTTCACATGGCTCGTGTGGAGATGTAAAGCCAGTCTGGTAGGTGGGGTTATTAATTAACAGTCTACATTGGACCTTGATGCTGCCATTAGCTGGTGAGTAACTGCTCCTTATGATTCACATGTAGTGTGCTCATTGGCCGTTCACGTTCACGCTGCGGTCAGGAATTGAGCGTTTCAACAAAGAGACCTGCCAGCAAGAGATAATCAGCACCTGGTAGAGGACAGTGCCAATTTGCGACGTGCAGAAGACCTCGCAACTTCATCGAACTTTTCACTCATGACATTGAACCTGGCCGATAACAGTGGCAAATTCCAGTTTCCCTTGAAGGTCCCCAAGAACAGCAGCATCGGTAACTGTCTCAACGTCCCTAGTCTTTCAGCTTCTCTTGTTTGTTCGTTCGATCTTGAGGAAGACTTGGCCGGGAAGAGAATGAACATGAATTGCACCGGACTGGGCAGGAGAAAGCATGTTTAGTTGATCATCTCAAGACTGAAGTCACATATGCCATCTCCGGTTCATTGCAAACAACTGGGTCATTCCCAGGGAGACAGTCTTAGCTTTGCTGAATGCTCCAACCTCAACTGGAAAAGGCTCAAATTCCTGGCTGAACATTCGAAGTGGCTCAAAGGTTTGTTCCTGCACTTCCAAGAGTAAACTGAAGCGCTCTTGATCTGGAGAAAACACCTGATCTATGCCAAACCTCTTGGTGCTGGAACCTGGAAACAAAGGTTGCAGTCTTGGCCAAAACTCTTGGTGCTCCAACCTGGAAACAGAGTCTGCAGATGTTTGCAGTGCTTCCTTGCAGGTGGTGTTCATGTGACAAGCGTGGGATATGCTGTATCCCGCCTCCAACCTTTTGAAGGCTCATTGCTGAATTTCTCCATCTACGTTATGAGCTTCTAGGTTCGTTGAGAGCTTCTCACGCTCTTGGCTGCAGGATCTGCTGCTTGTCTCCATGATAGTTGCGGCTGCCCTGCCATGGCTTGCACGGTTCGTTTTAACATTGGGTCCACCTCATTGAGGTCAGTGACGAAGGTCGACACGAATGACTTCCGTCGTGGAGAATCTGTTGTTCCGGCCCGTCTCTATGAAGAAGCCTCTGAGCATCGGACTGTGTCGAAGAAGCGGCGATTTCTTCGTAGACCCTTCAGCAGACACATCATCATCATCGACTCAGTCCCGTTCAGAGCCTCCCATCCTCTGAGGCTCTGCTCAGCTCAAAAGGGAACAAACCCGAAGACACGACGAACCGCGGAGACACGGCGGCGCCGGTTCCGTTCCGGCCGTGCGGTCCCCTCAGTGGGTGCACCAACGGCAGAGAGTAGCCAGGCGAGCACCCACCGTTTCAGTGCAGCCTAATGCAGCCTTGGCTACTATGTAAATGCAGGGTATAGTGAAGTCAAAATTGAATGTCCTCGCAAACGGCGAGTGCAGCGAATTGGTCAATTTGGCTTGCAGCTTTCACCTCAAATGGTAGGACCACAAATAATGTCATGTGGAATGAAGGTATTTGGTGGCGACACTCTCAAAAATATTGATTGACAAAGTGGCAAAGAAGCCAGCTTGAAGAGCAGTTGGGAATGACCAGAATGAATCCAGGTGGATTTTGCAGCTGGCCAAATGTGCCTGCTTCATGCTCGACTGAAAAAAAAACAGCTGGTTTTTGGACCACCATGCTTTGTGCTTTTTTCAGAGCTTTCATTGTGGTGCAAATTCGGGGTTACAAGCGTTTGTGCACCATGTCATGTCCGTCTCCGAAGGAACAAACTTGAGGGAGGGGAGGTAGATAGGTTGGTAAACGTGGGGAGGCCTGTGAAGGAAAGTCTGGGAGTTCCGTAGAGTCCAGCGCGACGTCTGCGGAGTCCAGGGCGGTCTAGAAACGACGACTAAGTCGTCGTCGGCCGTTCTGAACCTGAAGGAGATCGAAGCAGGCGGTGGAATCCACTTTAAACTAGCCAAATCATTCCCAGTTGGATCCCGCCTCGAGCAGGATGCCCAAGGCAGGACGCCCAACCGGAGCACGCGGATTCCACAGCCCCGCCCCGCCCGACTAGGGCGTGGGCCGCCCCACGGTGCGTGTGGCGCACCCGGTGCGCGGGCGTGGCGAGCCCAAGTTACGGCCAGATGAATTCGTGAAAAGAATTCGCCGACCTCTCCAAAACAACCTCCAAAGCCCAGGGTCCCGGCTTCATCGTCTCACATCAGGTCCGGAGCGCGAATTGGCTTGAAGAAGGTACATGGTCTACAGCCGGAAACCTCTTGCAGAAAGAAACCCAGAGAGGAGAGACCTTATAGGACCCTGTAGTGGTACATATGGGATGGGCTAGGATGGGCTGTTCACCTCTCAGGAACCTGCAAGAACTACTTGCTCGGCCTGGCAGAACCCTGCCGAACCGCCGGCGACAGCATCCCGAAACCTGCGACAGAATCTTCAGCGAATGCAAAGGCCTAGATATGAGTGGAGGGTGCTCAACGGGTGTTCTCACCACTGTGAAATCAGGCAAACCAGGTAATACCAAAAGAATTGGATGATTTCATCTATAAGTGCAAATTAAATATTGATTTGGGACATGAGGAGATCAAATGCTTTGGAGCAGCTATCTGTTGTCTCATCAGCCTGGGTTTGTAAGGAGAAAGAATCGGAACAAGCAATGGGTGGGCATGTTCTCGATGTATCACATCAGAGGGTGGAGAGAAATTGCCCACCACATGGGTCTCATTGGGTAAGAAAGAGGGTCCTGGAAACTGCTCCGCCTGGGGTATTCATTGCATGCCAGGACCTTTGTCCCTGGTACAATCACGTTTGCGCACTAGACTCATTCCGAAAGAGGCCATCTCTGGAATCCAGGCGCATTGTACAACAACGTGTTGCTGATGAAAAAGACAGCAGCAAGGAGGACCCTCCAAAACCCTTCCTGACGCCAGGGTCGGCGACCTCATCTTCAGCCGTTGTGACCCACTGCGTGTGGAAGGGAGACCCCCTGACACCTCATCCAGG